GCAGAGCTGAGATTTCACCCAGAACTCAAATCTGGCTCTGGTTCCTTAAGGAATCAGATGCTCAGCCTGACGAAAGCCCAGAGTGGGGCTCCAACCCATGTGTCCTGACTTGCATGACCAGCCCAGCTGGTCGTCCTCTTCCCTCCTGTGCTGTCCCCCACCCCCCACAGAGTCTGGGAGTGGAGATGGGTGTGGGGCACGGAAGTTGGGCCCACAAGGTGACACTGGTGACCTCAAGCCGGCAGAGACTACTCTGGCCTGGTTTGCCGCCTGTGGGCCATTCCTGCCTGATGGGTCCCCTCGGATGCCCTTTATTCCCTCCTGAATTCCCGAAGTTCCCCAGGAAAACAGGAGAGTTGGGGGCGGTTTTCTGAGCTGTTACCAAAGTCATGTTTAATGAAAAGCAAACAAACCAAAAACCCCACCCAGCTCTCTTCCCTGGAGACTAAAGAAAGCCATGTTAAACTAAGAACAGAATGGGGGCCTCAGCCCCCAGCCCTATGTCACAGGGTTGGGGACCCTTGTCAGTATCCTGTGGCTCTGCAGAGTGTGCATTTTGGAATTGGAATGTTCTGGCTCTTACCCACCACCGGGTACTCAGCAAGCGGTCTGCACCTGTGAGGGAGGGAGGGAGGGAGGGAGGAGGGGGGAGGGTGTGAACCAGGTGGTGAGTCTGCCGCCAAGCTGGGGCAGGAGGCTGTAGGAGCACTGAGTGCCTGTCCAGTGGTGTTGGAAGGGTCCCCCTGCCCTTCCCCACTCAGTGAAGACCCTTCTCCTTCTCCTACCCAAGGGTCAGTCTACACTGGACACTTGAGTTCCACACCCCTGGGCTGTTAGGGGCCCACAGCACCTTCATGGGAGGCTAGGTGTCGCCGCTCAGCCTGAGCTCCAGCCTGGTCCAGGTCAGCTCCCAGTGGGGCCCAGGGACTTTATTTTTGTTTTTTAAAAGATTTTATATATTCAGCCCTGGCTGGTGTAGCTCAGTGGCTTGAGCGCAGGCCTGCGAACCAGAGGATCCAGGTTCAATTCCCAGTGAGGGCACATGCCTGGGTTGCAAGCCAGTTCCCTGCAGGCCAGTTCCCAGCAGGGGACGCACTAGAGGCAACCATACATTGATGTTTCTCTCCCTCTCTCTTTCCCCTCTAAAGATAAATAAATAAATAAATATGTTTTTAAAAAGATAAATAAAATTAGACTAAAAAAAGATTTTATATATTCATTTTTAGAGAAATGGGAAGAGAAGGAGAGAAATATCAATGTGCAGTTGCCTTAGTTGCCTCTCCCACGCCCCCTACTGGGGACCTGGTCCGCAACCCAGACATGTGCCCTGACTGGGAATCGAACTGGTGACCTTTTGGTTCACAGCCTGCGCTCAGTCCACTGAGCTATGCCAGCCAGGGCCCAGGGACTTTATTTACTCGGGAAACAGCAGTGGGCCATGTGTCCCCATTCTCCTGAGAAGCCCTGGGCCTGGGTAGTGCTGCTGCTGGGAACCCACAGGCCTAGAATACGTGCTGCTGCCGACCACTGCTGTGACTTTGAGCCTGCTGCTTCTCCTTGAGCCTGATGGAGGCACAGCTGGAGGTGTGCCTCCCTACCCTGAAACCCCAGCCTCGTTAGGGGTCTAGTTTGGATGTGGGGAGGTCTAGCCTGCAACATTTGGTGGCCCTGGATTAGAATTTTATTTTCACCCCATTGCCGACATTTACCCTCGGGCCAGGTGCTCCCCAGCTCTGGGTGTCCCTGAGATCCGGACCAGCCTTGACATCCTAGGGGTCTGGACACTTGTGAAGGGTTTGTGCGTCACCTTGAGTTTGGCCCTGACAGTGAAAAGCAGGTGTCATCTGATCGAAGACCCCACCGTGTGGTGGTGGGAGACCTGTAGACATAAAATGATATGCCCATCATATATAGGAGTACAACAATGACTGAATGAATGAGTGACAATGGGGGCTCAGAAGGGAGCTGAAGTGGTCCCAGAAGGCTTCCTGGAGGAAGAGGAAAGACTTGGACACTTAGCTTCAGCCTATTTAGGAGCCACATTTGAACCCCAGTCTTAGCTTGCGACAGACACCCTTAATGTTCTTAATTTGTCCCGGACGATTCTTCTTGTATCTTTTAAAGCCCAGCTCGGCTACTATTTCTCTTTCCAGTTCCCTCCCTGCCTGCTCCCAGAATGAATGATATTTCCTCCAGATGTTGTCCTTACTTCATTTGTTCCCTCCACGGGACTAGCACATGTCAGGTTCTGAGTGCACTGTAATGAACCCAGGCTCTCACGTGGGGCTGACAGCTAGTGAGGGAGACCCAGTGAAAGGGAGTCAAAGAAACACACAGGGAAAATCTGTGCGAGGTGCTGTGAATGTGATAACAGCAGTGAATGCCATATAAGTGCTAGCTATGCGCCGAGCATGCATGAACTCAGTGATTCTTTATAACAATGCTGAAGCAGATAATGGTGTTGTGCCCTAGTAGAGATGAAGCTGAGACAGAGAGGTTAAGCAACTTGCCCAAGATCACGCAGCTCATAAGTGGCACTGCTGAGAGTGGACTCAGGCTGTTTGGAGAACAGAGAATAGTCAGAGAATAATGAGACAGGTCAGGGGAGAGCTCGCTGAGCCAGTGAGAACCGAGTGGAAACCCAGCTGCTGAGAAGGAGGCAGCTGTGGAAGGACTGGGGGCAGAGCATTCCAGGCAGAGGGCACAGTGTCCATCGGCAGGCTCCAGGAGGGGCGAGTTTGGCACATCTGAGCTGCTGAGTGAAGCCAGTGTGGCTTAGAGTGGAGTGAGTGAGGGTGAAGCAGCTGGAGGGGCTGAGACGGGGCTGCCACTTGCAGAGGCTGGGGGTCTGGGCCCTGTAGGTGAGGTTTGGGGTTTGGAATGCCCGGGGTTGCACAGTTCTGCCCTCCAGACTGTGCACTCCTTGAGGACTCTCTGGCCCCCCAGGCTTGGTGCCGAGGTGCACCGTCCCTGCACACTGAGCTCAGGCACTCAGGGAAGCACATCACTGTGGTTCCTCTCCTCCGACCTGAGGTCCCAGTCGCCTTCCCATCCACCCTGAGCCCTCACAATAGGTAGGTGGGCAATAGGAGGAGCCCCCTGGCACAGATAAGGCACCAGGAAGTGACATGACGTGCCTGGGCTTGTGTGGGTGGCGAGGGACCCAGAACCTCCACCTACTTTTCCACCCCATCTCGATCAGGGAGGCGTCCGGAGCCTCTGCGCACCCAGGACACGGTCGCAGTGTCTTTCACACTCGGCACCACCTCCTCTGCACACACTGAAAGTGCAGGTCCTGGGCCATCCGCCTCCCCCCACCTTGCACATCCCGGGGTCCAGAGGGCTGCTCCACTGCCTTTCACCTGTGCCCGGTCCAGGCAGGGCCGAGCTGGCCTCCTCCGTGCCCCGGGATGGCAGCTCACCACTCTGCCCACAGTGTAAGGGCCCAGAGACCTGTCTTGGAGACACTAACTCACTTCACTCCTGTGGACCTCAGTTTCCTCATCTTCCTGCAGATCTTGCTAGATCTTTGGTGAGAATAAAGATTTTGGAGGGCCGCAGAACTTGGCACATAATTAGCTGTGGTGAATATATATATATATATATTTTTTTTTTCCTTTTCACCACATCTGGGCTTCAGTTTCCTCAATGGGTGGGTAACAGGTTCAGTTGGTCAGATGAGGTGGTACAAGCTGGCTCTTGATGAGCACCTGCTGAGTGTCAGGCATATTTAAACTCCTGACTGCTCTGCCAGGCTGCTGGTTTTCATCTGGCTTTCCAGACAAGAAAACCAAGGCTCTGGCACTGAGTGGCTCTGAGCTCGTTAGAGAGCTCTAGTCTTGTCTGACCCCGAGCTGTGGCTGGGCTGGGCGCCGGTGCCGTCCGTGGCTCTCTCTGTCCCAGGCTGACCTGGCCGAGCTGAGGAACTGACAGTGCTGCCTTGTGCCTGCTCTGTCCTGTGGCTCCAGGGACAGATGGTGCTGGCGGCTGGGTCCTCTGCCAGCTCCCTGGCTGTGGGCCTGCCTGCTCCTGCCATTCCTTTGCAGCAGCTTCCTCGTGGGTACGAGGTGGCTTCAGGGCAGTGATGGAAAGGACCAGAGTCCGATGCCGTGAGGACACAGGGATGAGTCAGACTGGACCTGTCCTCAGGTGCCCCCAAGCTGATGGGGAGACAGAGAGAGGAACAAACTGATGATGGCAGCACAGTGTGGCCAGACCGTGACAGTAGGAGGCCCAGAGGTGGCCCCTGACAGCCTAGGGGGCAGGCCAGGCTCCCTGGAGGAGCCGGAGGGCTGGCCCAGGTTCTGGGCAGAGAGAGCCGTATGTGAGACGTGGGAGAGAGCTCGTCCCACAAGAACTGGGGAGAGAATTGGCTGCCGCCCCTGGAGGCGCCCCTCCCTGGCCCCTTGTCTGTGCGGTAGGTACATCCTGCTTGGGTTTCTTAAATAGTAGTAATTTATCCTCAGAAAATTAGACATTTAATTAATTAATATCAGTAGACATTAAGTATGAAGCATCTCTTGGTTGGGGTAATCATTTCCCAATGTATACGTGTACAGAACATCACGTTGTGCAACCTAAATCACACATCAAACTTTCATTTGTCAATCTATCTCAGTAAAGCTGGAAAAAGCTACAATGAGACCATGGGGATCTGCAGAGCCATGGACCTGCCCCTGCCCCAGGTCCTCGAGGAGTTTCTGAACTCCTCATTCTTGCACTCGCTTTACGGTCTAGGAAACAAGCCCTTATCTGCTTGTTTGGAGGCCCAGTCAGCAGGCGGGCTGGCAGCACCTCCCTGGGGCCTGTCACTCAGGATGGGGTGCCGCTGAACCCCCGATCTCTCCACTCCTTGACGTTGTCCTGTTTGTGACCTCTAGAACAGGCTGTGATCCGCCCCTGGAGGTGTGGCCCTGCTCCCAGGCCTGGAAACCGGTCGGAGGTGGGAAGGGAGTGGCCCCTGGGCCTTCCTAAAGTAGCCTCAGGTTTCCAGCACACTCCAGGGCTGAGCTGAACCAGGTGGGTCTTGATTTCCTTTTGAATCCTTAAGGAGGGTGTGGAGAGACCCTCTTTTCTCCTTTTTCACTACAGCCTTATGAGCTATGGGAGGGAGGGATGGATAGTCTGGAGTCCCGCTGCCTTGACTAGTGGGTAGTGGCTACCCCTTTCCCAGCCTCAGTTTCCTCATCTATAACATGGGCACTCAGGGATAATAATGGTCCCTCTCACTTGAGCTTGTTTCTAGCCAAGCAGGTTCGTCCCGTGCTGGCATTTACACAGGGAAGCTGAGTGTTAAGAGTTTGAGTGGTGTGTCTACTGGCCTTGAGAGCAGCAGGATATTGGGGGAAGGGGGTATCCAGAGAGAGGAAGGGGCCAGAGGATTAAATGACTTGGGGTCAAGGGGAGGGTCTGTCCCTTAAGAGAGTAGGAAGGGGGTGGGCACAGAATTCTTCCTGGCACCCCCACTGTACCCTGAGTGCCTCCTTAGACTCTGACTTTGCCTGGTCCCCACCCACCCCACCTTGCCTTTGAAGATAAAAAGAGCTTGCCGGCAGCCAAGCCAAGAGAGGGTGTGTCTCTCTGTGTAAACCCTTCTCACCCAGGCAGCCCGGAAAGCTGGGAGGGGCTTCCGAACCTGCTGGGCCTCTTGGATAGGCCTCGGTGGGATGATGAGGGTGGGGCAGCTGCCCAGGTGGGATGGACTGGTCAGAGACTATCCCGCTTCCAGGTTTTCTCCACATCATCAGAAGTCAGCTGAGCCGGGAGACAGCCCATGGAGGGTCTCCAGAGTGCCAGGCTCTCTCAGAAGTCCCATGAGCTGGTGATCAGATCTCCCTTCGGGACTGGCACCTCCCCACCTTCCCCCGTCCTGCCAGGCTCCGGAGTCAGAGAGCCCAAGTTCAGTCTCCCCTCTGCCTTTTCCTGGCCACGTGTCCTGGGATGGATCTTCCCGTGTTCCAGGACTCAGCTTCCTTTTTCTCAACTGTAAAATGAGGAGTTCTGCCTCTGAGTAGAGTTGAGAATTAAAGGACCTCCAAAGACCAGATCTGCACACACTAGGTACACAATAAACGGCAGCTGATCGATTTCTTAAAAGGATCTTTGAGCTTCTGCAAGGGCAATTCTTGGGAAGCCCCTGTTCGTAGGCAGCTCTCTGGCTTGGGGGACCCCTCTCCTACTTGTTCTGTCCCATTAGGAGACAAATGAGCTCTAATACTTCCCAGCCTCTAAATAAACAACATCCCTCCTCTGCCCTCGTGTCCCCTTCCAACTACTGTCTTGTTTCTTTGCTCCCTTTTCCACAAAAATCTCTGACAGTTTTCCGTGGTTCCTGCTTCCACTTACTCACCTCTCCGCCTTTCCCTCATTCACTCCAGTTGGGGTCCTCTCCCTCCCCACCCTCCCTCCTTTCAGCTCCCTCAAAGCTCCTCTCCATCTGCCTTGCCATCTCTGTGCCCCTGGTCCAGCAGCTCCCCTCCTTGGGAGATGCACCCCCTCCCGGTGATCCTTCCACCCCGCCCAGTACCCCTCCTCAGGCTCCTTTGCAGGCTCCTCCCCCGACCCGCCCTCTAACTAGCTCTGTCTTCACTCTCTCTGGATGAGGCCTGTTCTAGTCACTATGGCTGTGTGACAGAATACTCCAAAACTTCGTGACTTCAAACAAGAACCATTTGATTATCTCTTGAGATTTTGTTTGCCAGGGCTGAGTGATGCTTCTGCTCTACGTGGCGTTGATGGAGATTACGCTATCAGAGGTCACTTGGCGGTATAAAGCTGGCTGGCGGGCTGGACTCAGGAGTCCAAGATGGTGCCCCTGGTATCTGACTGGCTGGCATGGCTGGAAGGTTGGGACTAGCCGGGACTGCCGCTCCCAGCACCAACACGGAGCCTTTGTTGTATGATGGTCTCAGAGTGGTCAGACTTCCCACCTGGCAGCTGGTTCCTCCAGAGTCAGAGTGCCAAGAGGCCTGGGTGGAAGCCACCAGGCTTCTCCTGATCTAGTCTCAGAAGTCATGAGTTGAAATGTCACAACCGGTGATGGAGATTCAAGGGGAGGGGGTTAGACCCGACCTGTCATGGGGAACACTAGCAAAGAATTGGCAGCATTATTTGACCAACCACAAGGGTGCAGAGTCCTAAGGATCTCTTTTTTAAAAAAAATTAACTTTATTTATTCATTTTTAGAGAGAGGGGAAGGGAGGAAGAAAGACGGGGAGAGAAACGTCAATGTGTGGTTGCCTCTTGCGTGCCCCCCACTGGGTAACTGGTCTGCAACCCAGGCATGGCCCCGACTGGGCATCAAACCAGTGACCCCTTGGTCTGCAGGCTGGTGCTCAATCCACTGAGCCACACCAGCCAGGGCAGAGTCCTAAGAATCTTAAATGCCCATATACTCTCATGTCTCCAGGGGCAGCCTCTTCATAGTGACCTCCAAACTTGAACATTAAGTTGCCTCCTTGACATCTCTATTTGTGTTTAATAGGACCTGAACAATTCTTGATTCCAACCCCTCCTTATTTCTCCCCAGTCTCCCCAACTCAGTAACCAGCATCACCACTCACCATCCACCAGCCCTGTGTCCTCCCTGCATCCTCTCTTTTTCTCACGCTCACTCGTGGGATCCATCAGCGAGTTGTGCTGGCTCCACCCCCCACATCCTCCCTGCGCCCATCATCTCTGCTTCTCCAGTGTTACTAGCCCCGCCCAAGCTCCATCGCCTCTCCCCGGACAGCAGTGGCCCGCTGAGGAGTCTCCCTGCTCTTTCTCTCACCCTCTCATTGGCCCGCACACAACGGCAGAGTGAGATCACCTACCTCCCCACTTGGAGTTTCCAGCTCTTCTCGTCACACTTGGAGTAAAATCTAAACTCCGCTAGAACCTACAAGGCCTTGGGTGATGAGGGGCCTGTCTGTTCCTGACTGCACTTCCCATCTTGCCCCCCTGTCCCACACTGCCCCAGCTGCCCGCCAAGCCTGTCCCTGTCCCTCCTTGGCATCTTTGCACCCCCTGCTCCCCTTCTTGGACCCTGTGCCCTACAGCCTTGCGAAATCACTCCTTCTTGTCATTTATTCAGATCTTTTTAAAAAAATATATTTATTTATTTATTTATTTATTTATTTATTTATTTATTTATTTCTAGAGAGAGGGGACAGGAAGGAGAAAGAGTGGGAGAGAAACATTAGTGTGTGGTTGCCTCTCATGTGTCCCCTACTGGGAACCTGGCCTGCAACCCAGGCATGTGCCCTGACTGGGAACGGAATCATGGACCGTTTGGTTCACAGGCCCGTGCTCAATCCACTGAGCTACACCAGCCAGGGCCACTTATTCAGATCTTGGTTACCCAACCTAAATGAGCTCCTCCCTAACTACCACTGTTTCTCTCTGTCACATCCGCTGTTTATGTTTTATAGCACTTTTCGCCCTCTGAAATGATCTTGTTCCTATCGCCCACTTGTGAGGGAAGAGTCTGCATCTGTCCCAGCACCTGAGGGAAGGAAAGGGAGTTTTAAAAAAGCTCAATGTTAATCCCCCAGTCAGAACTGGCCTCTTTCTAACCTTGTCCATCCCTGTCTGGTCGTGGTTTTATACCTTTCTAGGCCCCTTTCTGTCCTCTGACCCAGCCAGTCCTTAGATTTATAGCTCGAGGCCCTGTCACTCAGGCCAATCCAGCCCCCTCATCCCTCCTGGGACGTGGTTGTCCTTTGCCATTCCCTGTCCTCCCTGTTCCCCTCGCAGGGCTGGGCCTCAGTCTGCCTGCTGTACCCCAGTGGGAGGCTGTCTTCTCCCTGCCACTAAATCTTACCTGCCCTAAACACGCCCCCACCCCTCAGGACAGTGAAAGCCTTCAGCAGCCACGGGGTGCTCAGCAGGGGTTGTGACTGTGGAGCTGTGGACCGATGAAGTCGTGTGGCTGCTTTTGCACAAACAACCATTGAGTTAGAGCCACCCAGCATGCATATAACCTAAAGCAAAGCGATGGCAGCAGAAAAACAGGAATGCAGCCCTGGCTGGTATGGCTCAGTGGATTGATCTCTGGCCTGTGAACTGAAAGGTTGCCGGTTCGATACCCAGTCAGGGTACATGCCTGGGTTGTGGGACAGGGCCCCCGTTGGGGACATGGAGAGGCAACCAATCGATGTTTCTCTCCCTCTCTTTCTCCTTCTCTTCCCCTCTGTAAAAATAAATAAAATATTTTATTTATAAAAGGAGAGGAAAATGTAAATTCAGGCTAATACCATGAATCTTGTCTATTTTAATCTGTTTTGTTTGATATTTGTGTTACAATGTTTCAGGTGGCCAGTGATGACTGGGTGTGTCTTCATTCAAGCCCTTTGATCAGATGTTGAACAGAGCAGACAAATGGGGTGGTCCACTGGGGCCACCTCCCGGTTCCATTCAGCACGTGTTACTGAGCACTTCCAATGTCCCGGGTGTATGCAAATGCAAAATATCCCTATTGCTGTCCCAGTGGCCTCTTCTCTTGTGCCTGGAATGCTTTGTTCCCAGTGAACCTGAGCTGTTTCTAGTGAGCATAGTCTTCTTTTCCAAGAAAACTTTTCCTTGTGGGGCATCATAAGCCTTTCTGGGGCTCAGCAGTCCCTGGGACTGTTAGACTGCATGGACCTTGGTGGGAGGCCTCTGTAGAGCTTCACAGACTCCATCCTGTCCAACACCTTCATTCGTGGCTCAAATGCAGCCCCAGTGCTGGACAGGCTGCATGGTCACCTGGCAGTGACCATCACAGAAGGGGGCTGAAAGGCCCGTGTGCCCCCCCCCACCGCTGCTGGAAACTTCCCCTCTGTCCTTCTATTTACCTGCAAGCAGTTCTTCATTCTCACGCTTGGCCAGGGCTCAGCAAAGGCCGCCTGGCCAGTCACAGCAGCGTCTCTTGTCCTTGGGGACCTGTGCAAAGCTCTTCCATGCTTGAGTGATTTCCTTTGTCGTTCAACAAAGCCTTGTGATTTTGTTTAGAGAGAGGGGAAGGGAGGGAGAACGAGAAGGAGACAAACAGCAATGTG